CAGGAGATAGAACAAGCAATGAAGGGGAGGTCACCAGAGAAGAGGAGCCACCCTGCTCAGAGCAACAGGAGAGAAGCTGCTTAGAAATCTCGCCCACTGCGCCTGGTGACCGGTCTCTAAGGCGCGCATCACCAAGCACCTGCTGGAAGTACATGCTCACCCGGCGGGCCGGCGGAGAGGCCTGATGTGCAGCGCTCACCACCTCTGCTGGAGCGCGGAGCGCGGGACGCTTCCCCACACTCACACCTCCCTGCGCACGCACACCTCCCTGGCCGGCTCAGACTGCGCAAAGTGCCAGCTTAGCCCCCATCTGTGGCTGTGGGGCAGCATCGGAAGGTGGGGTGCCCACTGCCTCGGAGCAGGCAACATGGGAGCCCGGCCTCCAGGAGAAACAGGCACTCAGGTGTGGCCCTAGGAGTTCCCCTCCGGCTCCCTGTGCTGTGTCATCTTGTCCCTGCCCAGTGACTTGCATGGGCTGCCTATACCGTTATTCAGGGGTTCCTGGTTCCCATGAATCGACCAGCTATAAGGACGGTCACTTCTAAAACCCTTAGGAAAAATCCCAGACACACCTGGTGTAGCTCCCACTGCATCCCTGGGCCCTCATACGCGGTGCCGGTGTCCCCATCTCCCACCAGCAGAGCCCAGGCAGCACTGTACACGCAGAACGCTTCACCTGTCAGCCCTCCCAACATCCCATCTCTGCTCTCCGGACAGACCACTGCTGGGGTGCAAGGACCCCTGCAAGCTCTCCGCCCCTCCCTGCACAGCAGGCCCGGGGATCCTTGACCCATCCCCCCACACACACCGTAGGTGGATGATGGGAAATTCATAGACAGTACGTGTGAGTTCACCTGCAGCCATTGTGCTGAGACTCAGTGCTGTCCCCTCTCCACAGGGAGGTTTGGTGTCTCCTGGAAAGGGCCCTCTGACCTCTCTGCAGAGCACCCACCCACAGCCAGTGGTCCCGCGCGACCCCCACCCCTCTCCACTCTGCTTCATGTTTGGAGGCTGAAGCAGTCCCTGCTGGTGGTCTGGGGTGGGGCTGGGCCTGGCTACCTTCCTTCAGTCCCTCTCCTGGGCCCCCACAAAGCCTTGGCCTGGGGGCCTTCCCCGGCGCTAGAGGAGCTGGACCTTGCAGCCACCAGCGCCAGCCAACTCCTCCCTGCTCACAGCCCCACTCGGCCTGCTTCCCTCACAGCTGGGAGCCGGGCCAGGGATGCCAGCGCACTGAAGAAGAAAAGGTTTGCACTGTTGGTCTTTTTTTTTTTTTTTTGGTCCTGGGGATTGAACTCAGGACCTTGCACTGGTCAGGCAGGTGCTGTGCTGCTGAGCTGCACTCCTGGCCCAAGCACTGCTGGGTCTTGAAGGGCTTCTACAGCTGAGGACGCAGCCATTTTCATTCTATCATCTTGTTGCTGTTTTTTGTTGGTTGTTTTTTTTTTTAACTAGTATTATTTTAGTCTTTATTTGGTACAGCTCAGACTTGCAGTGATCCTCCTGTCCCAGCCCCTCCAGCCCTAGAATTACAGGCATGCACCACCACACCTGGCTTCGGTGGCCAGCACAGCATGCCCGGGGCGTTAGGGCTGGCAGGGCATGTGGTACCAGGGACCGAACCTGGGTCCTTGAGCTTGCCAGGCAGGCACTTAGACCACCAAGCTATCTCCCCAGCCCAGGAATTTATTAAATTGGTGGTGTTTTTTGTTCTGAGACAGGGTCTCATATGTTGTCCAGCCTGGCCTTGACCTCACTATTTAGGCCAGGCAGGCCTTGAACTAACAGACTGTCCTGCCTCAGCCTCCCAAGTGCTGGGATTACAGGCATGCACTACATGCCCAGCAATTTTAGCTACTTTTTAAATGAGAAACCAAAGTTTAGAAATTTCAAAGGTACAGAGGGACGGGACACCAGCTCAAGTCTGCCCAAGTCCAAAGAGCATGCCCATCCCTAACCCATAGCTGTGTCTTTACAGCCACTTTAGAGATAAAGGTAGGCAACAGAGATGTTCTCACATCTCCTGAGGAGCTCTCTAGGCTGAGAGAGAAGGCTGAGGTGCCTCAGAGGGACTGGAGCGCGTGCAGGAGGAGGAAGATCATGCTGTGCACACTCCAGGCCCCCGTCCATCAGAAGTATTCGATAAGGAAAGGCAGGCAGGACAACAGGGGCACAAAGCCAGGACACAGGTGGCAGTGACCAGCCAGAAGAGGCTCCATCATGCCCATGGTGAGGCGACTGTCCTCAAGGACTGCCTCCCCTCCGCAGGTGTCAATGTAAGGCCCCTCCGGCTGTGAGCCTGGTCATCAAGACCTTCGAGAGAGGCAACTCTGGGGAAAAGGTCAGCATCTAAGGACCAAGGCTCTTAGCAGGAAAAAAAAAAAAAAAAGCACTGTAATTTGTTTTTAGTGATATAGAGTCCTCTTTTAAAAAATGTTCTGTCTTTTTGAGACTTGATCACTATACAGTTCAGGATGGCCTTGAGCTCACTTTGAAGCCCAGGCTGGTCTTGAACTTGCAGTGATCCTCCTGCCTCAGCCTCCCAAGCGCTGGGCTTAGAGTACTTTACACTGCAAACATTTGAGCTGGGACAGATGCAGGAAAGAAGTCTTCTCTGAACCTTCTGGGTCTAACTACAGAGCAGCCTCCACAGACACAGCTGCCATTAATCCCCTCCTCGAAGCTTCCTGAGCAGAAGGCAGCCCTTAGTGCCCCGAGGTACAACTCCAGCAGGCAGAATGAACAGTATCACTCCCAGAAGGCCAGAACAGGGTCTCTGAGCCTGGGCCGGAGAGGTATCGATGCCCTCTCATTAAAATTTCTGGCAAAACACTATACGTCTTCCAAAAGAACGCTGTCGTAATCTGCACATAGCTGAGGAAGGCAGTCCAGCCAGGAAAGGTAGCACAATCGACAATGCTAGCACGCTGGGAGGGTGAGGAGGAGAACATTCCAGCCCAGCGCGGGCAACTCAGCAACATGGGGAGACCCTGTCTCAAAATGAAGTGTTTTTTAAAGGCTAGTGATATAACCCAGTGTGAAGTCCCTGGGTTCATTCCTGAGTATAGAGGCAGGGCAGAGTGTGAGTTCGTGTGTGTGTGTGAGAGAGAGAGAGAGAGAGAGAGAGAGAGAGAGAGAGAGAGAGAGAGATTTCCCTCAAAAGAAAAATAAAGGCTTAAATGGGGACAGTGACTGAATAGAGAAACTATCC